TTTCCTTTTTTACCTCTGATACATTTTTGGTACGGAGTGTCTTGTCAAAGTGAGTGATATCAGGAATCCAGCTGTGCGCTCTCCTGCCTGTCTATACGCAGAGAGCTGCTGTTCCCCCTCTTTTTGTCACTGGGCAAAGTATGACCTTCGTCTCTACTTTTTCACAGCGGCAGGTATGTATTGTTCCCAGCCTTCGTCCCCTCATGGAGAATATTCATGTTATGCTATATTCCAGGGACGGTGATGCGCCATTACGCATGTCGCAATAGGCATGGGTTGTTATTGAGCAGGTGTGTCTGTGCTTCTAGTACCGGGCGGACCCAGGGGGGCGCAGACTACATCATGCTTCACCCTTAACCCAATAGCGATAGCCTTTTAGAGGGTGAAGCCATATACGAAATAGAACTGAAGTTACCTACTGTAACTCCAGCTTCTATGAGTATTGGCGAAGCCCTCTAAGTGCTGGGCCCCACTGGCTCCACGAATAGCTGAAGAAAAGTTATTTTGTATGGGAGCGGATTGTCGGGCCTCCTTCCTATTTATACCGGAAGGGAGCCCGAGGGTGGGGCCCACCTTGCGGGCGGGCGTGGACTACAGTGTTTTTTTTTTGCTTTTTCTTGTTGTACCGAACCTGTACCGAACCGTGGCCCCCAAACCGAGGTACGTACCGAACCGTGAATTCTGTGAACCGTTGCACCCCTAATTAGTATTAACACTACTGTAAGCAAGAGTTATTTGTAGTGATTCCTTGACAAAGTATTGTGTGGCCCACAGACCCCCAGTGATTTTCCTATTTGGCCCACTTGCTAATGAAGTTGAATAGCCCTACCTTGCACATTACTGTGACTACACACCTCTCTGCTTCTAACCGGATGGACCTGATATACCTGATATAGCTAAAACTCTTCTTAGTACTCAATAATACTCAGTTGTTACAGTAGATTATTAATCGTCGGTGACTGTTAAAGCTGAAAGAAACTCTAAGAATCATCTGCTTCTCTTGCATCATTTTTAAATATGCGAAACAGTATGGAGCCCCAAAACTTGTTCAAGTAAAAGTACTTATCTGAGAAATAAAAATGATAACAAATAACTTAATAAATCTCGATATTAGAATAGTAATCTTTTACATACAAGAAATTTGCATTGGCAAATTACAATAACATTTTGAAACAATACTAGTATATAACATATGTACAGTATATCTGAATTCAAATGAAAGTGCTCTGCAGTGTTATTACTGTAAGTTGTCATGTGCAGAAATGTTTAACATTGATCGAAGAATGTGGAAAGGTTCACAGTACGAACTCACCTCACTGATATAGTGTCAAATATGTTCACTATTATATTGCATAAAGACACATGGGAATGCATTACAGCAACGTGTACAGTAACTATGTGAAATACAACGCAAAGCGTTTTGTTTTTACTCTCAACTCCATTTAGAATGTAAGAAACAGCTTCACATTAGCTTGAACTGAATTTTTCTCTTTCTGGGTGAGTTTTTACAAAATATCTATTTTTAAAAGAGGAAGCTTCAGACACCTTCTGTGGTTATTCTTTAAGAGGAACTACAGATTTCTTTGAAAAATAGATTACTAAAGAACTGTATCATACTCAAGAGGGGGGAAAAGTAGTAAGCTCGTCCTACATTTCATTCAAGGAGCCCTTTTATGCTCATTTTCAGGTTCATATTTTTATTTTGTGCCTCTACTGTGACATGTTTACATGCTTTAATGTTCAAAAAGCTCTTTATTTTTCTCATACTGCCTGTAGTGCAGCACCTCTTTTCACCCTTTGTCTGAAACCAGAGCCCAGTCTGCTCTGATTGGTTAGCTTGCCTATCACGTACAATGTGTTGAAGTGCTATCAAATAGAAGTATTAATGTTACATAGTGATGTCACTATGTTTCGGAAGTAAACAAAGGAGTCCAATGGAGGCGTTTAAGGCAGGGGGGGAGTGTCTGGGAGAGAAACTTCCTTTCTTTTGATTGTTCTGATGTTTTTAAATCTTGTAAGGATATACTTTGTATCTACATTACAATCTTGATATGTTTAGCTCACATGAAAAATCCCACTTTTATCAAACGTCAAAGCACAAATGTATTGTACAATTTAAATGATTCAATAAACATTCGTAATTTTCCTGCATGTGTGCATATATTCGAACCGCAACCCAAAGACTAAAGAATAAGTGTAATGTATTTAAGCAACTGCATATGTTTTGCTATCACTTAGAAACACTGAGATAGCCAATAAGCATACATACATTTTTACATTAACTTATAGGTTCTATAATTTTCAGTGATAGACGTATGTTATCTATTTTAAAGTATTAGGCTTATTTAACTTTTTTGTCATAATTACACAGACTCTTATTGTTAGGGAATAATTCTCCTGGACTCATAACCTTTTTGCCCTTTGACGTGTATGACCAACCCTGACGTCTGTTATCTCCCTTAAGGAAAGGGGCTGCTTCAGCCATAATGTTGTTGTTCCCATTCTATGACCGGGCAACTCTAGGTCACAGATGGTTTATTGTTGTGGGTACACTGGAACACTTCCTTCTCGGTGTTTGTGGACTCCAAGGTGTGAAATATTTGAGGCCATAAGTGTCAGATGCAAGTAACTCAGTGTTCCCAGCTGTTTAGGCTATCTCCTCAAATATGTTGATTATTCTCTGTGAAACCAGTTAAAAGATCTAGCAAGAGAGAGGCGCTCCAGAATTGATGTGGCAACTCTCCCGTGCAGTCAGACCGTGACTGCTGGGACTTGTTTTGTGAATTCTCCGGACGAAGCTCCTCAATAAACCATCAGCGTTTGACACCAAAGCTCCTGCTCATCCCGTGTCTCCTTCATGAGTAGGTGACTCCCACTGCTTTACTACACAGAAGTTTCCCCCACATCTATAATAAGAAGATGAATCCACGAGGATGTCAACAATCCTGTGGGAGCATCAGGACAACAATCTGAATCTGTGAGATCTGCTCATTTGCATATAAGAAAGGAATGAAAAAATAACTGGGAAATAATATTGGCATTTTGCAATAAAAGTCCCT